TCCCTCGTATGTTCCCGTGGAAGATGTTGTTGATACATAACACAATGTTAGGATTCAGACAATCATAAGGTATTACTGGCCAAAGGCATTACTTTTTGCTTTTCTTCCTTACAAGTGATGGAGAATTATTTAGTTGGCCGAAGTGAGAGAGTGTTTGTGAATGAAACTCTGTCTGATGGAGTTACTGCTAAAGTTGGTGTTCCGCAGGGTTCGGTCATGGGGCCTTTACTGTATATTATTTATAGTAAAGGCATGTTAAATACACTTCAGTCCTATAAACAAGCGTATGCGGATGACACTTAGATCATCTACTACATCAATGAAGCTGGAATACCAGAATTGCACAAAAACATTAGTTCTGAGTTAAAAGCACTAGATACTCGTATAATCCTAAAGCATCTGCAATTCTAGTGCTTGACAAGACAACGTCCGACAAGCAGATCAAAAATATTATGAAATTAAACATAGGTTATAATATTCTGCCTTTCGTTTCATCATTAAAGGATTTGGCACTGACTATTGACGATAAACTGAAATTTAATTTACATGTGACCAACAAATTAAAGGCAGCATATTTTACACTAATATTGCTTTATATGAATGAATCATCACTGCACTTTAAGTTAAAAATCAATCTTTGTGTATCCTTGGTTATGTCTTAATTAAACAATAGTGATATTATTTACAGACCTTCTTTAGATGTACAAGACAAGACTAGAATTCAAAGCTTACAAAACTTCTGTTGTATTTGAATGAAGGAAGTATGATCATGTCAGTTCTGGTATCAATAATCTTCCCTGGTTGAAAATGCGTATTAGTGTTGGCACATAAAATCTTAAACTTGGAAAACATGCCTCCTTGCATCACATTCATCAAGCAAATATTAGATGCAGCAATATGCTACATGTACCTAGGCACCACACGGCAATATACAGGGAGAGTTTCATCAACAGTGCTGCAATAATTCTTTGCCAAATAGTTTCAAGCACCTTTCTTGTAATGCTTTTAGAAATAGTATGAAGCGTTATTTTCTCATGAAACAACTCAACTGAGACTGGATATGGATATGTAAGTATATACAGGGTGTTTATTTGAAAACTTCCCACCGCGGCTTTATTGAAAATAAGTAAAATAATAAAAGAAACAACGCCAGGACACTTGGACAAGATTAACACCCCCGGCCTCCCAAGGTCATTCCCTCAAAATTTTAAATAACAATGAGTATTGAGTAATAGCTTGCTTAAACTCAGTCGATTTATTATCGAGAAAATTAGAAAAATCTTTATTTATCTTAATTTGTTCAGATAGAACACAAAAACACGAGAAAATATCACTTTTTATTTCAATAAATGTTCAAAATGTTGCCCGTTAGGAATTGCCAAATCTACCATTGTGGTTTGAAGCAGAAGCTACCAGCATAAACAGCAATTCGGAAGATTAGACGTGACAACAACAAAATAACAACCCGAATTTTTTCCGCATTCTGTTCATCAACGCAGAATATACTCCATAAATTTCATTCATTTAAAATTAAAATATTGCAAGAGTTAACCGAAGATGATTTCGATAGGCGAGTTGAGTTTTGTGAACAAATGACTGCAGCGACTAATGATAATAAATAATATCTGCCTCAGTGACGAATGCACATTTTATCTGAATGGATTTGTTAATTCGCACAACTGCAGATATTGACGCAATGAAAATCCTGCTGCTTATGCAGAAGGGCATACAGTTTCCCCAAAAAATTAATGTATGGGGAGGCACTTTAGGAAACAATGTGACTGGACCATTTATTAATGGAAATTTAAATGGAGAGATTTATGTGGATATGCTGGAAAATACCATCGATCCGCTTATTACTGAAACCATTGAAAACTAAGTTGAAGAGGATGGAAACCCCATACTTGATGAGGCTAGGCCAGATAAATGGATAGGGCGAAGAGGGCATATAGAATGGCCTGCTAGATCTCCTGATTTGGCTCCCATAGACTTTTTTCTATGAAATCTGTTGTAATTACTCCTCAACCTGAAACAACATTGAAACATGTTTTTGAAAATGTCCGACAGGAATTTGGACATCGCCTATATATTTGTTTGGCCAACTACGGGCAACATTTTGAACACTTACTGAAATAAATAGTGATATTTTCGTGTGTTTTTGTTTTCTATCTGAACAAATTAAGATAAATAAAGATTTTTCTAATTTTCTTGGAAAAGAATCTACCGATTTTGAAAAATTAAACGTCAAAATAAAGGACTTTGAAAGACCTTTCAAAGAAGCTATTACTCGATACCCAGTCATTTGAAATTCTCAAGAGGATGACCCTGAGGGGCAGAGGGCAAAAGGGGATGAAGTAGTTTTTGGTTAGAAAGCTTTACCCTTGACACATCTGTTGACGCGTCTCGGCGTTTCCTCTTTTATCCAGTGGTGTTTGATAAGTCCATGGTGGGAGGTTTTCAAATGAACAACCCTATATATAGGTTTGTCAATATGTGTGTTTTAACACTTTCGTGAATTGCATGCATATTGAAAAATTAAAATTGAGAAACATTGTCATATCACAGTTGAGCAGCTTTATGTGTGTGTGTTTTTTCATGTAGTTCAATAATCTAGTAATTGGGTTCGTCGGTTAAGTGTTAGATTAGCTCCCAACGAAAATTCGCCATCTTGCTTCTGCATATACAATGTAAATCTCAATATTAGTCTTTTTGTTGTAATATTTTCTTATGCGGTGGCAAATAATGTCTATTGTAATTATTATTACCATATTGGTATATATAGCAAAAATGGAGACTCTTATTATAAGGAACTGTGCTTATATTAAACGGAGATAGGAACTAATTGTGATAGCGTTTAAAATAAATGAGCAACGTCCAGTGATGGGCGTTTAATTGTCTACGTCTCGATGTATACAATGCGTATACAATGAATACAATGTATACCATGATTCAGACAATGTATAGAAAAGCATAAGTGAGGTTAAGTTTATTCGCAAACGTCAGAAATTTGGTAAACAGTGAACCGACAAACTTAAAAAAAATATGTGGTTGGACGCTCCAAGAACAAAGAAATCGATGAACTAGGGTCCATTTGTTGTTCTTAATTTATTTAAAACTGTATCTTCGTATACGTGTATAAATAAATATTGTATATTTATTTGTTATTTATAAACTCCTTCCACAGTCAAATCAATAATGGAATTTTGCAGAATTTGTACCTATCCTAAACTTTCAGTTCCACCGAAAATCGGAGAACCATTAGGATCGATCTGGAATTAATCTCAAACAGATTCGACAGAAATGTGTATTTGAGCGTGGAAAACAAGGCGTTGCAGCAAGTTACAGTTGTGTTCTGTGGCCTTCATCACTGTTGTGCCAGGCAACGTGGTGTGTGGCACACTACTTCTACACAAGTGGGGTCCGCCTGTCCCCATCTCTCTCTCTCTCTTCCTCGTACACATGGAAATCTAAAAGGGCAAGGGACTTTCGCCAGCACTATATGCAAGTAGTTGAACTATGATTTGCTATTGTATACATTTTATACATTTTTTTTTTGCTTTAGGATCAAGCCATGCAGCCAGAAACTAGGTTGGTAAAACGTCCAGTGTTCAGATGTACAAGTAATACTATATACAGGGTGACTTTGAAGTTGAGTCATTAATTTTCAGATAATGATTGTAGAAGGAAGATAAACCAAAATATGTGTGTAAAAATAAAAAAAAAATTAAAAAAAATTTTACCTTGTTTTATAAAGTATCCTCCCGACAAGTATTTCAGTGCGGACCTGTATTTGATCGTGAGGTCCCCTGTGAGGTCTTAAGTCACCTGATTCACGAGCCCGTTGTACTACATTAACAAAGGCACGAGGGGTTGGTTGCACTCGATTGGGAAACCGATCCGCATAAACATGTGCCATTTTTTATTTCGTTTGAGCCACGCAACAGACACTATTCGCACGCGACTGAAACTGACTGTATGTATAACTGAACTGAATTGTAATCGTAAAAACATCGTTCCAAATTCTTTCGCTTTTTTGTTTCCGATGCGATGAACCGTTGTTGCCAAACACGAACACATGATATTATTGAGACAGGGCGGTACTCAAACTTCCAAAGGGCTATAACTTTGTTACTTTAATTTTACCAGAAAAATGGTAAAGGAAAAAAACATTTCTTTTGATCAGATCTACACACTGTTAAAATAAATGACTCAACTTCGAAGTCACCCTGTATAATTAAGACTGGCACTACCTCATCAAAAGGTGTCAATGAATGTTAAAAACGATTTATTTTGAATAAATTATCATAATTGAATCCTAAGAATTCTTAATTGTTGTTGTTAACCTAAGCTCTCCATAGAAAAACAGAAGACGAAAAGAAGACAAAGGGTAAGGACATGTTTCACGCCAAGGGGTCTATCAAGGCGACTTACACAGAGGAGGACCACGGTAAAGGTATTAATATGGTCTTCAACAAAGGATCGGCAGCTAAGATAGACCTAAAAATGAGCTAACACAAACGCTTTAGGTTATGCCGTTATTGTGATGGTAAGAAGGTTTGTCTTGTTTTACAATAGTATGCCAGTCTCACAAATGAAGCTAATTAATTGATCAAATATATGTTTATCATTTGTAGCTAGCAGGTGCATAATATTATAAGGCTGCGAGATATTTAGTTGGAATAGATTGCTTTTAAGTTTAGCTGATTGTTGTCTGAATTTGGAGCAATTAAAGAACATATGCTCGAGATCTGCGATCTCATTGCAGGTGTCGCACATATTACTATTGGCCACTTTGATTTTATATAGGTGAGCCGGGTAGCAAGCATGTCCGAATTTAATTCTAGTTATTGTGGTTATGTATCTACGTGAATATTTAAATGACTCATGCCTAAAATTACTTCTGATTTCAGGTTCCAGTAGAGTGTATCTTGTTGGCATCCGTGTGCAGAAATCATGATACTAAGTCTTCCATTTTTTGATGAAAAAATTCCTTGTGGTGTTCAATCTATCATGCACAGTTGGTGTTGAGAGATAATTTCTTCTCCTTGTGAAACACTTTCTTTAGCTAGTTGATCTGCTCGTTCGTTAAAAGTTATGCCCGTATGGGCCTTAACCCACACCAACACTATCTTTTTATTTGAATTATATTGTTGGAACTTGGATATGTCTTGCTTAATCCTTATTATATATGAGTGGTAATAGTTAGAATTAACATCTGTTGGAGACTTTAAGCAAGACAAGACGGATAGAGAGTCAGAAAATATAATACATTTGCAAATACCGGAATCTCTCACAAATTCCATGGATTTTAATATAGCGAATGCTTCCGCTGTAAATATAGATGTTTGTCCACTAAACTTGAACTTCTTCTCGGCCCGATGAGGTATCACCCAGGCAGCTCCAGTGCCCTCAGCAGTTTTAGATGCATCGGTGAAGATGGAAGTATAGTCAACGTAACTTCCCATGATCCGTGATATTACGCCGTTATTAAAGCTAGCTACTTCAGTGTAGCTAGGGATAATGACTTCAGTATTCAATAGAAACAATGCGAAGTTTACATCCAGAAATGTAAGTGAAAAGTCTGTAGAGTTTCTAAAGGCTTCACAGAGGAGAGACGAGCCTTTTTTAGACCAATAAGGTGAACTAAGATCATGAGCATTCAAGGAGGCTACTTTATTCAAAAAGGGAGCCTTCTTAGTTCTACATTTTAAAATCATTTTTTCATGAAGCATTTGTCTTCTTATGTCGAGTGGTGGCTCTCTAGCTTCAGCTATATGGGGTTCAATAGGGGTAGATTTCATTGCTCCTATGCATACTCTCAAGACCTTATTTTGGAGAGTATCCAATTTTCTGAGTGCTTGCTTGTTTGCACCGCCATATAAATAGCATCCATAATCAATGATAGATCTCAAGTAGGACCTGTAGAAGGTAAGAGCCGTAACAGGATCTGCTCCCCACCAAGTTTTTGTCACTGATTTCAAGAAATTTAGGCCTTTGTTGCATTTTACTATAATTTTCTCGATATGCGATTTGAAGGAGAGCTTTTTATCGAGAATCATACCTAAGTATTTGATTTCCTCTACAACAGGGAAGTTAGTCTGTCCTAGGATTACTGTCGGTGTACCTGAAGTTCTATGGCGAGAAAATATAAGTACCTTGGACTTTTGTGGTGAAATGCCTAGATAGTCGGTACATTTTAAGGTAGGACAAATGGAAGAATTTAGAGACCTTAAGCATAGATCCAACTTTTTGGAAAAAATGTAAAATACAAAGTCGTCAGCGTATTGAATGACATTCAGGTTAGAAGAAGTGGTATGCATCTATATCGTATAAATATTAAACAGAAGCAGGGATAATACAGAGCCTTGTGGTAAACCTTTGGAAAGTAGTCTACGTTCTTTGATCCTCCCATTATATTGTCTAATAGAAAGTGTTCTATTTATATATAGTTTGCAAATAGTGCTTGCGATATCTTCTGGAATTTGTAGGTTCACTATTTTTTCGTAGAGGGTAAGCCAATCGACGCTATCATGGGCGCCTTTAATATCCTAGAAGAGTGCGCCCATATATTCATTTTTCGAGTTACAAATTTGAATGTCTGTGACCAAATGGGAGAGTGCGTCGCCAGTTCCATAATTCTTCTTGAAACCATACTGAGCTATGGGTAGAATATCGAGATGATTAAGCCACCATTCTATTCTATATTTTATCACCCTTTCGAAAAGCTTCGATAGACAGGAGAGAAGAGAGATAAAACTGGTTTTAGACACGGGATAAGGATGACTTTCTTCCATTCGTTGATATTTTCGCCTAGAATCCAAATATCATTCAGAATTTCAATCAGTAGTTCTTTAGCATTATACATTGTATACGTGAATATAGAGACGTATATACGCGTATACAATGGTGTATTATACATGGTGTATACAATGCGCCCATCACTGGCAGCGTCGCGTCATATGATGGAGCTCAGCAAAACAACCCTTGTTATGCATGATACAATGTCCCAGATCGGAAGGTGAACCTTTCCATAAGGTGTGAGTGTCTATACTTGCTCTTCTCACCAGCTGAGGTATTTTGCTAGCTATGATTTCATTGTTGGCAAAATCCTAAATCAAGACCAGTAGGATGCTTCAAGAACTTGAGCTCTGCCTTCGTAGCTGGTTCGGTTATTCTCTATGTGGAATTTAGGACACTTTAGTATGTTTTCGCCATGCCCTCCTTGCTCTACAAATGTTCCCTCCGACATTAATTCAACAATCCTTTCATGTTGGCGTCAAGTGGCGAGCAAGCCAGCTAGTACGAACAAAAAGGAGTTCCTTAATGCACTCGAAATGTCATTGCGGCTTGGACCGTATTTTCCGCATGCCATGTTCGCTTTTTTAATCCCGTCTACTTATACGTCCTAAACGTACTTCATATTCAAATGTTCTGAATTAAATCGTAGGTATGCGACATGCGGCAGACTGTCGTCGTCGGCCCGCATGCATATATGTATAAGTGCAGGAAGTTTAAATTCATTAAAATGAAAATGTCCCAGACGGTGATGGTGGACTCTCTATGTATACCTACTGTAATAAAGGATAGGCATTCCGATGTTCTCAACGACTCTTCCCACTGAGTTATATCGTGATGTCAATATTTATGCTGGAAGGGTATAAAACATAATATCACAGACCCTAGAACTACCAGCTGTGAAATACCGCTTACCCTAACACTTTTCTTTATCAGAAAATCATATACGTTGATACATGCTCTTCACTCCTTCAGAACTCCAGTTCTTGATCACATTGTTTCCTGGGGAATGACCCTAAATTCTGACAGCTGTTAACACGGGTCAAACGAAGGATGGTGCAAATTTTGGTACCCACCTCCAATATACGTGCAGTGCGGTATTTGTGACGCCTAGTTTCAAATCTTAATCCACTAGGAATTATAGTACTGTATACAAATTTGCCATAGCAAGAGTCATAATATTGTTTACATTGTATACTATTTTTCACGAGTATTCATCACATTTTGACTGAGGTAAACAGCAAGTGACATATCTGGCTTCGCTAACAGCTTTCTCGTTTACCCTAGCTATCAATTAATAATGAATGGATACTACGTATATATTATTTTTGTTAATAAAGATCAAGTTGAAATCCCTATACCACTTTACCTTTCCGACAAGAGGTCAACTTGGAACTAGTTTACGTTCACTTCATGCTCAGTTGTAGCAAGCGCACTCTAGCCTAATTAGTCAACAAGTGACATTTCTTCGGTTTTTTTGGCATTATATAAGTTTTTTACGTAATAACCACGGATAAAGAATAATGAAAAGCTAAATCCTAGTTCTTTTTCTACGTGTCTTATCTTGTCTTGCTATTATTCTTGTTATTCGTTTTCTCTCTTATTGAGGTATCATTTTCTCCTATCATGTCGGATACCAAAGTACGGAATATGAATTTTTCTTATAGCTCCGATCGGACGAATATTCAAGACTGGCGGGGATATCTATCTGTCACTCGCAGGGTTGCCAAGTCTAACGACGATCACGTCCCGTGGTGGAGGGTGCGAAATGAATCTATTACATTTGCTGGTTTTGAATTTTTTTTCGTGAAAATTTACTAGATGATTATAAGCATCTTTGGTAGATTGTTCGATCCGGAATGGGAAATATCTCCTATTTATGAAAATATTATCATCTAACCGTTGCAATCAGTGCACAAACACTGTGTGATTTATAGCATAACCCGCTGCCCTATCAATACAAATTTAACATACAGATCCCCTAGCCGTGGGGATGCAGTGGTCGGGATGAATATCACGGCAGCAACTGATGATTTGGTAAAAACGTATGAAGTGAAACTCGCTAACTTCACAAATTTGAAGATTTTGTACAATTTCTTTGAAAATGATCAAAGATACTCGTGAAATGTATTGATACTTCTAAATATAGGATCGTATCGAACATCCCTACTGTCAAGATGTATAACCCAAGGTACCGACGGAGCTATTTTGCGGCGTCATGGAAATAATATTAAATTTTCATTTGCATTTTTAAGTGTTGTTCAATGATTTTGAACCTTCAGAGTACACCTTTTGTGACTGGTACCAAGAGTTGACAGATCCCACACATGTGTCACTCCTTGAAATGCAATAGTCAGCTGTATTATATATAATAATGTCTAATATGAATATAACCTAGAATGTGTACTCGTGAAAAAAGAAAAATATGGCTAATTTGTAGTTTTTTGCAGGTCTTAGGTTTGCTGGTAGCTTTAAGGCATATATTTGGGAATTTCTTAATCGCTGTCAATATAATGTGGATGTTCGTTCAGTTCCTGAACAACGAAAAATATGCAACTTTATGGATGTATGGATATCAAAAAACCTGAATGGTTTTGTGGGAATATCAATCTAAGGTGCCATAATGGTTCTGATGAGCGGCAAGTAAATGAATGGATGTTTGGAAACGAGCAATATCTTTTGGTAGAACCTGTCATCAAGTAGGTGCTTAATGGCTATCTGCAAGAGGTTTATAGGAAAAAACACACAGTATCGCATATCAATTGATGAAAATAATATAAACATGAATAAAAAATCTACAATAGTAATTAAGACATGAATTTTATTGAAAAATCCAACATTTCTTTAAATGTTGACTGAATTATATATGTAATTTCTTAATATTCAACAAGCTGGTGATGTTTCAATGACAAGCTGTCATCTCATACTTTGACAGCATTTTATTTTCAACATTTCATAGCTATTGGTTGCTAAAATTTGTGGAACTTGAAGCTCATTCGTTGAATTTGACGGTTTGTTACCCTATAGGTGGACTGATGTTGGTGAAACTGGCCCGAAGAGAAGCTTTTATTTAGCTGTTCAGAAATGAATTAAGAATTTAGAAATAATGTTTCCTATTGAACATATTCGAACGACAATCAAGCTCCTTCATGTCGAGGTGCAACACCCTATCTTTGGAAATTTGAGATGAACGAGCTTTATATTCGGCGTGAAGACCCCAGGGTAAGTTTCAGATGTTAGAATACAATATATAGTAGCAAAACTTGTTTACCAAGATCTAAACGTAAAATTTCGCGTCTAAGACTGCTTCTCCCATGGAGATTATACACCAGTCAGATATAGGAAAAGTATCCTATATTCTCTTACATTGGCATGTTGAAAAGATGCAACATGGTGACGTTCTACCAGTATACCAACTGAAAATCAAATCCTGTGGAGCCTATGCACTAAGAATCGAAATTGTCTGTCGGGTTGAGTTGAATATGTAAGAGACAGAAGTGTTTATAGGCACATATGCTAGAAGGAGATAGAAGCTGGCTGGATAGCGAGGCTCATCACCGCGTTGCCTAGCAACGCTGTCGCGGCAATATGCTGGGTTGCCAATATGTTACACCAGTTCCTTGAATTAAAATGCATGTCGAAAGTATGCGTTAGTTTATTCTCTACGCCC